CAAGGACGTATTTTACTCAAGTTTTGCTTCTGCTGGTGCAAGTCAGAACTTCGAAGTTAAGGTATTAGTGTGAAGACATGTGAAAAAAGCCCGTTCACTACATTGTTAGCGCACGACACCACCAACCCTTTATATATCAGTGAGGGAACAAGTTTCCCGCCCGGCAGACAACCAAAAGGACGAAACAGACGCTGTTCTCTCGCATCAAGTCGGAAGTGTCTCTCAATAGCATTGTAAGGCCGGTTAACAGGGTAAACGGAATCTAATCTAATTGTAACCTGAGAATTCTTGTGACTAGAATTTTCACCAAATTAAACGTCAAATCATATCTTTTTCGCTTTCGTCATTCACACAGTTACTCGGCTGATCAGCAGCCAAAAACCACAGACATCAAGATGTATGCATCAAGCGAACTCTATTGGAAAAATCTCCTTTTAGGTCGACAGACAGGAGATGCTTTATCGAGGGAATTGGAACTTAAATCCACAGTTTGTGCCATTGGAAATTCCATCAATGTTTCATTGTCTGAAAAGAAAATATAGTTAATTGTGCGCTAATATGGATTAGGCTGTGTGTGGAAAACACTTCGTCTTGTGGATTGGAAGTCCACTGATTAACAGTTTCAAGTGAACTAGCCCCTCCGCATAAAATAGGATCACGCTTATTGGCGGGCTAGCACCAAAATAGTCAATCATTGTTGAAGAGTTTTCAGGTAGACAACCTTAGTTATCGTTGCATGATAACATATTTACCCCTAAACCTGTTTTATCATTTGAAATCTTAAACCTGAAGCATCATTGAGGTCCATAATTCCGCGCTGTTGTGCACAGATTTCAATAGCCAAAGCTCTTGTGATGCGGTACATAGAAGATCTAAACACGAAATTACTTATGTCTTCAGCCTGTCGAATATCAGTCGAAGGATCCCTCAAGTCAACTCTCTATTGGAATGTGACACCACAGATTGCCCGAGGTAGTTACAGTGGTGTCACGGCAACTAAAACCAGACGTAATGCGTCTGGTTTGGACCGGAGGTCAAGGCACCTCGATTGAGGAATAGATTAGCAATAGTAACAACAGTGACGAGCTGTTTTATATGTGCATGGATACTGAAAAACAACGTAGAACAACTCTTCAATCCATAACTGGTCTGATCTACTAATTTTACTTGTCGCATTAAACGTTCTTTAAACTTCTGACACGGATACTCGCGCGGCTCCAAAATGGAAGTTAAGCGTATGGTCAACTAAAGAACACTGGTCACTGTGGTTAAAAAGTATTGCGGAAGACGGGAAAAATCCCAGCATGGGTGGACATCGCTTGACTCGCACAAGGTTATGTTTCATCATCCGTTTTATCTACACCGCTCCACCAGCTTCGACACCACATAAGTCATAGACACAAGGGCCCATGTGATTCGTTTTAAATGAGGCGCTAGTTGGAAAGATTAACGGCAAAGAGTGGAACGTTCATATTTCTGTTGGTGGCTCTCATCAAGAACCGAATAATCGGCATCATAAAAGACCAACGACACAATAATCGACTGATACTGTGTGTGAGACCAGCACACACTGATTTGCCTAATTGGTTAGAGTGGCCATTCGTTGATGTTGATACACTTGACCACAGATCAGATATGCCCTGACTGCCTCTCCGATTAATACATGTAAACTCTATAAATTGCCGAAGCATCTGCTCAGCACCGCATGGAATGTGGTGCTAGACTACTTGAGTCTTGTTGAGTAAAACACCTTAATTCTCCACCGGATTGGTGGCTTATTCTTCCTCAATTTTTTGGTTTTGAGGGGATTTCGAGGTATGTGTTTTGTGATTTGCTACACGTGTTTTCAGCTATCTGCCAGTTTCTTTTATGTGAGTGACATTACAATCCCCCTGACGGGTTTCACATTTGGAGCCAGCTTTCACCCGGAGTAACGTGGCTTGTGAGGTGTCAGGTGTATTCTGAGAGTGCTGTCGGTTTTGAAAACTGTACTTGTGCTAAATTCTAAAAAAATCTCACGAACTCGGTGGCTGGTGAGTTTTCGGGGAGTTGAACAGTTTGTAAGATGTTTCCTTCTTTTGTGTTCCGTCTTGGCTGAAACTGATTGAGTGTGTTCTCAATGGAAGAGCTAGTTATCCAACTCTCAAGGTTGGCAGACGAGGCCTCTGTCTTGAAAGTACCACGCTAATATTGGAGATAAACACCCTACTGAAAATTCGAATGGTGATTACAGGAGGATTACAGAAATCTCAGCTGAATCTGACTTTTGCGATATTAATTAATCGAAATTGCAGCAAAATGTCGCTTTCTGTTGAACTTGAAATGAGATCCAAGTTGTGAAAGCATTTTTCTTGCTAACGTCATCTTATCTTCAGACTATTGTCCCATTCAGATTTCAACTAAAACTGCAAAAAAATCGAAGAACTATTATACACTCGATGAACTCCAACAGTAACAAAACTGATACTAGGTCATTCAAGAGTCTCGATCAAACTTATTGGGAGCACAATGACAGATGCCTCTTGATTTGAGGAGTAAGGAACTAGATACAAAAGCCGGAAAAATACACTCGTTTCTGTAATAACTGGTGTAAAAACGAAAGAATCACCTGAATCTCTGGTTCATCACATTCCTCAACTGAATGTGCTATACAAAGGCTGACTGACGCTGCATTTCTAATGTACCTGAAAGGTTTTGTGAAAGAAAAAGCTGACCTTTAAGTGGACATTTCGAGATAACTTCCATAGACATGTGGTCTCTTCATTTGTTGTGACTGAAAATAGGATATTTTTACACACCTTCAAGACACATTTTGACTATTCAATCTGGAACGATGAAGGTGACGAATGACAATTGAAAACTTGGCAGGCGTAAAACTTTCTGGTAAGCCGGAGGAACCAGAAGTGTGAATAGCGTTGAACTCAAAGTGAATCACTGAATTTCCTGAGAATGGAATCCAATGCTGCTCTTGACTAGGTCCAGCTATATTCGCACCTCATCCTCGTCCCTGTCATTATTAGAGACAGAAACACCAGCAACAATGGAGCCTGTTGCTCCACAGAGTACCAACCCAAGAGGGATTGAGAGAGGAAGTGTCTGCAGTGAGAAGAACGTCAGGGCCTATGCCTTTAAGTGACGAATGATGCGGTCAGAAACTGGAATGTGGCTGGAACTTAATTTGATGTTTTATCTGGGGTACTTCCCAGATGTCCCAGCTCAGTCACGAAGATGATTAGGAACCCCAACCAAAGAGTTTTCTCTCAATACCGAACCAGAAGGTAAGCCATCAGCATAAGTTTACAGTATGTTGTATCATACATTGGGAAAAGCAATTGCCAACCCAGATCCAACTAATCTCAGCGGATGGTAGGATTATGAGGTTCAGGAACGATAAGGTGACCACTTACATGATGCCTAGAATGGACAGTACCGAGATGATCTCTTCATCTCTCTAAGTCATTAAGTAGGCCAACTCACAGGATCAACAGCTAGTTCGCAATTTTGAAAAATTGAGTACGACTCTGAAAACTCTGAGAGACGATAAGGCCCGCTAGTTCCAAACTTTTCACAGATTGATTTCTTATGCCAGCAGGACTCGCAGACTAACAGAAGATCATTGGACAAATCTTCCGCATGCCTGAAAGAATGGCAGATTGCGCAGGCGAATTAACAGTGGCGAATTATCGGTCTATGAAGTCATGAGTAGTAGGCCACCTCGTATTGTGGTGTAACAGACATATACGTACATGTCGCCAGTTGCTTGGCCAACAGTGAGGGAATACATCATATCACAAGAATGAAATGCGAACAACAGCCTATCTTGGAATTTAGCGAAAGCAAACCAAATCTTGAGCTGAAATCGTGCTACGTTCTTCGATTTTCGCCCTCTTATTCCTCTTTTTTCGGAATCGAACGCAGTTATCGTCAGATTCTTCCAACAAACACAAAAGATTCGTTTTTCCACTTGTCCTTCAGATCAACAGTAAAGGGCTTCATTTCCTGCTAGTTAAAAAAAGCGAGTTCTTTATGCGTCTCCCCTTATAATAGTTAGTTTTGTTCTCGGTAGTACAGAAGCATATTACAAAAGCACTTCACCAAATGTATGACGTGAACAAGAAGCTCTTCGCGAAGAACACTTCCATAGCCTTTTCCAAGAGTGAGCCCTTTTCAGGAGCATCAATTTACACATGTAGACGTCACTTCATACGATTTCAAACCATGAGTACATCTCTCCAACTTACCCAAATCTTTCTCAATAATGAAATTTTCATCATCGCATTGTTCATATTGCTTCAGAATGCGAATATTGACTAGTTGTTTTCGCTGACCAGGCATTTTTGGCTCTGTTTTAATGGGACTGATTCTTGAGTATAGCCTCACCTAAAATGTTATCTCAGAGTTATTCGTTGTAGGTTTCGGGTGGGGTTTTATCCAGAACCCTGAATACTAGCGGCCTTCAGTGGTGTTCTTTGCCTGTCAACACAGTCAATATGGTCAGCTAACATCAAGCCAATATATCAATAAACACGAGTTCTGATCCAATTAGAGAATAGTGGCACTGCGTATCCTTGGTCTTCACAAACAGAATGGACTTTACTGTGGTGTGACGGTCCTTGCACCTCGGCAAACCATTGAGCTATACTGTGGGTTGTCCGCGCGACACCCACAGTCTCTCATACCAGGTTGGTCAGTGATCAAATGTCTGATGAACACGGTCTCCTGGTTTTCCAGATTAGGAGTTGGAACATGTGTGACGACTGGTACTTTAAAAACGGCAACGTACTTACGTTTCCAGCCAAATACTGCTGCTTCACGGTCAGACTATTGAGCCAATGGCTGTGGTTGAGTGCCCCAATCTTTCTCCTGTCCAAATGCGGGTACCCCGGCGGTGTCCCAGGCCACGTACGAGCATGAAGTTAATTACAACTACGATGACGGACTTGGCGGTAATCTCTGTATTCTGTGTCTAATGTGTATTCGAGGGTGTTGATACTACTCCATCAGCGCTCGCTGGGTGCACTCGGATCTTCGTCCGAATAGACGGCTATGTTCACAGTTTGAACTACAATCGGTTTGCCTCTGACGCTGACCAGAATCCGCCTTCGTTGTATCAATCTTCTAAACCCGATGGTGAGGAGTACGTAACTGAATGGGTAGAGAACCCTTGGGAGCTGCAGAAAAGACCAAAAATTAAGTCCAGTGGTCCTCTAAAAAAATGTAAACAAACTCTCAGACGGTCATGAAGAAAGCAGAACTACCTAAATGAGAATGACATGAATAGAAGAGCAACAAATCGCATGATTACCCACAACGAATTTCTAAATGTTTAGCATATAATAATCTCTTTTGAGATGCAAGCCATTACTCTTCGGAACCTGTGGACAGTTTTTTCTAACACATACTCAGCTGTGCAGTGCAAATTTGAATCAAAACAATCGAGGAACATAATTGCGTCCAATACAGATACATACAGATACATACTTGGTCTAAGGTGCAAAAATGTCCGCTTTGCATTTTTGCCGGAAGAGTATTCGTGGCATAGATATCTACCCCCGTGGTCACTCGGGACGAACTCTTCTAGGCGTCCGGAACTGATTGTGTTGCAAACATCATGTGGGCGCGCTAAACTGATCTTATTAGCTAAAAAATGGTTATTTGAAACCCTCGGTGAGATTGTTTTCTTTCCGCGAGGCTAGCTTTATTAAGCTTCATCAAATATGCCTTTACTTCCCAATGGAGCCTATGACTACTGAAAATCTTTCATTTATTGAGAAACAGGACAGGTTAGGCGACTAGTCGACTAGCTGATTAGCCAGGGTCGCTGGTCTTGCCCAGAAACAAGATGGTAGTGTATGAACATCACAGCTGGCTTTCGCTGTTTACTTCCCTCAGAACCACTGAAGTTGGGATCAGTGTAGCAGAAAGCCAAGTCACGAAATGCCTTGTATACCTACCGATAGGTCATTATTTCCTTGTCATGAAAACGCGCGTTGCCTGTCAAGCTTGATTAATTCCGATCAAAGAACCGCAACTATTAGACAGCCAGTCAGACAGAATCGACCGCTACTTCGTGTGCGGAAAAAATTTAAGAATATTCCCGTTAAAATGTAAATTAATGAACCGAAAACGACCCATTAGACACCTTGCACTAATGCTCACATATTTCCGATATTTTGAATAAAAGTTAACCCTGTGACTAAGGTGAGATTTACACTGTCACAAAAACAATCATCTGCGTATGACCACTCTTTGTTGCAGCCCAGTGAAGCATTTTAGCTAGGCACCTACACTAAGCTACGAGCGTTAGCGTTCAACGTTCAGGGGATTAAACAAGATTATTGTCCAAAAACTGGCACCGTGCCTTCAATAAATTCATCTCACCTACACAAAGACCAATTCAGTGCGAGTATGCACCCAATGTTTTTTGGAGAGATATTGTTTTGCTATCACAAGATCCACTAATGAGGCTCAATGTTTACTTCCTAGCCATTACTTCTCTTGATAGAAACCTTTAGAACACTGGGTCCCTTTTATCCGTTTCAGAAGAGTACCCAAAAGTAAAAAATTTTCTAAATGGGATGTTAAGTTGACTATAAGTTCATGGAAAAAGATATGGTAGCCATAAATGGGATCAAAGGACACCCTTTTGCAAAAGCTTGTGAACTCTACTTGTTTTTGGGATAGTCAAACATCTTAGATCAATAGAATTCGCGCAAGCAAGTTTGGTTGCTGCACTCTCCAAGAGCTTCGCTTGCATAAAAGTATGGTGAAAATTTGGAACCGGTCAGTCAGGCTATCTGTTTTGTAACATGGCCAATAATAGTGTTGGTTTTCTGCATTACAAGACTTGGCAATTGATTTACGATAGTTCTTGAAGAATGCTTTGATAAACTCCTCTGATGAATATATGTCACTGAAACTGTAAATAAGCTCGCAAAAGACATATCAATTAAAATGCACACTGAAACATAATCATCCAGATTTTGAAAGCCAAGCAAAGTCCATTGGCTCCATCAGTGTGGCTTGGGATGAAACAAAGTCTTCGTTCAATTGTACTGGAGACATGACGCCCTTAACTTTTAAGCACGTGTAACCTTTGACTACTTAACTGTGACGATCGAATTGGGACACAGTCTTGCTCACTTAGAGATAAAACTCCGCAAAAGAAGTCGTACAAGCAGTCCGTATCAAAGTGTGGCCCTTGAACATAAAAGGAGCTCGAGGGGCTCCTTAAATACTAAAAACGTGGTCTCGAGCCCACTGACCTAAACATTAATTGAGGCTTTTCGAACGTACCATCTAAACTACTGAGAGTCTTAGAGAATAAACCACAGCACTATTATTCCTGTACGCATGTTGCACGACGATTGCTGAGGATAACTCAGCTTGTAGTTTAGACAACACTTGATCGATGGCGGTCGAATATCAGGGAATGCCAATAGCCGTTGATATATCAAACACGACCAATCTAGAGTAGAGTTCAAAACTGCCTGTACATGCAACACTTGTCAGTTTTTGGACATGAAAAGCGATGAACCAACAGCGCTACTTTAAAGTCATAAGTTGTTGGTCATGAGGTAAACGCAAGTCAGACAAATGAAAACTTCGGTAGTTAACTGTGAAAACTTCGAATAAAGAACATCAGAAAAAGTAGATTCACTGATTTGTGAACCAGAAGCTTCTGCATTATCGAACCGAAAATATTTTTTGATCAGGAAGAATCTACTTCCGAGTTCGCCATGCAAGAGAATCCTTCACCACATAAAAGCCGGGTATTGGCGTTTCCCCTGAGAACCACGACAACACCGTGGACCAGTGAGTGCCACTAATTCATCTGCTAGCAGCCGCAAGAGATCACCAGTGCCATCCTGTGTCACAAAGCGTAGAGTGTTGTCGTCGATGATTGGGCTGGTTATGTCCAACAGAGTGTGTATTCCGATTATATGTTTTCCTTCAGCCCCTGACGAATTTGAAAACTTTCTCTTTGGCTATCGGGCGAATGGACTGGCTTGGATTTCCTTCACTCAAACGCACCGGTAAAGGCGAAAGCATCGTATGTCCTGCTTTCTTACCTGATGATGACGTGCACACACTGAAACCTGAGGCACTTGAGGTTGTCCGAACAGTTAGTTCAGAGGCTATGTGCAGGTGCAAGCACGCCGGTCGCCTCTGACATACCGAATCTCTTGTCGATGGCTCACCATAAGAGGCAAAGCCAGCAGGTTAGAAGAACACCATATCGGTGAATCAGTGCTCTCACCCTTTCTGGCCGAAAGTAGGACGAGGCTGGTTATGCAGGTACTAAGTTGTGGTGAATAGACCACACTCAGATGTTGGAAAAACTAATAATCCTTAATCTGGTTTAGATAATTTCATCGAGTTTCTTCAAAAGCCTAGTCGGAAATCGTGAGGTATAACGAACAAACTTCTTCACGAACCACAATAAGTTCAGCTGATCCGAAGAAACTCAGATCACATGTGTGAAACTAGATTTGTGCAAAGTTATGAAAGAAGAAGGGTTTAATTGAAGCATCACGAACCAAGAATAGTACTTGTGTTGAGTAAAATAGTGGGCCTTCCTGTGTAGATGTCAGCTAACAGATCACAGTCATAACTATTCACTTAAAAGTTGACGGATTTCACAACCCACACTAGCATTATAAAACAGTCTTCCGGCTAAACTTTGCTTACCAGCTAACAACACCCTTAAGCTCTCCTCCCAGAATTAGCTAAGCAAAGCCATCTATAGCGTAATTTTCGCTGGATAAAGACAATCAACGGTCAGCATTACTGAATGCAAAATGTCCTGTGAGGTGGACCACCTTAAGAGTAATTTGGGTAGCTTAATTTGGTATTCAAAAATATTTCGATTCATAGCGGGAGACTCTGATGTCCTTCTCCAGTAATTTTAAAAATGTAGGTACATCTATTGAAAAATACCAGAACGTTTTTTCAGATAACAAATTACAGTATTGTGTTTGGACAGACATTTCCCATTGTGCACGGCTCAATTCGTATCGGACTTTAAAGATTTCCTCTTGATGAATATCTTGGACTTCTGCCAACGGTGTTTGGTATTATCTTGGCTCAATGGCCTGACCGTAATGCAGCGGTGTTCGGCTGGAATTGCATGGTGGACACAGAAAGTCAAAGAAATG